GTTGCTTATTCTGTTCCAGGATTCTCTTGCATTTCCGGCCCACAATTTGCTACTTGTATTTATTACTTTAAGCTGCTAGATTCCAGTATAATCTGTTTCTCAGCAACAGATTTTGTGTACCTCCAAATGAGGTAATGTGGTCCTTTCCCAGTGTTAATTACCTCCATCTTGTTCCTTGTATTTTCTCCATGCTTTCAGTTGTCTCAATAAATTTTATGACTTAAGCATCTCAATTTTGTGAGACTTTCTATTTTATTATCAAGTTGTGAACATGGATTGAGCTGTGCACTTGCATCAAGGAAATTTCCCAAGACATTACCATTTTTATCAATGACAGCAGCCACAGTTCTCACTCTTCCTCCCTATTCTTGGGGTGAGGACATCTCAATGGTTTGCTTTAAACTGCAAAGCTGGCTAGCTAGTAAAGGCTTTTGTTTACCTAGAGGAAACCCTGGAGTAGTTTTGGAAATAATCTGGATAGTTTGATGAATTTCCAAAGTCAGTTTAGAACTCTGATCTAGACTTAAAGCAGAAATTGATATTGGAACATGTGACAAATTAATCAATAGGCACATTTGTAGATCTATAGACCAATATTTGACCCCCTCTTTTCTGACTCCTATGTTTTGTATGCATTCTGACTTCTAGCTATGTTCTGAAATTTAAGACTTAACCAGAATTTTAATCTATTTCATAAATATGTGTCTATAAAATCAGAGGGCTGGTTAGTGGCTGGTTGTATTAGAGTCACCTAGTCCTGTAACTGGTGAGTATCAGTTCACATAAAGAAAATGACCTAAAATTCCATTTGGTATCACAGGAAAAATCAATTCAAATCAATAAGCAGTTATTGAAAACCTCTGTATGTGGCAGGCTCTGCATTTGATGCTATGACAATTCAAAAGGTGAAAAAGATCCACTTCCTGCCAAAATCTTTGGATTTGCTTATTTAAGAATGGCAGTATCACCGTTGTTCATCACAAGGAGAACATGGTGGTGTAGATGATTAAATGAGGCAGATGAAGTTAAGAATGTTGATGACTAGGATGGCAGAGAAGATACCAAGATTTATATGAATCCCACACAACATATCATATTATGCAGAAAATTTTTACTTCAGATATAAAAATAGTTAAATGTTTGTACTAGTTTTAATTTTTTTTAGTAGCCCCTGTTATAGTTTAGATATTCAATGTCTCCCATAGGACCATGGTTTTAAGGCTTGGTCCCCAGCCTTCCACACAATTGGAAGGTGTTGGAACTCTCAGGAGATGAGTTCCAATGGAAGGAATTCAGGTTATTGGGAGTTTGGCTATGAAGGAAGATTTAGAGACCCAGCCCCTTCCTTTCTCTGTCATTGCTTTGTAGGGACCATGAGATGAACAGGCCGCCACCATGATGTACCATCACAGGTTTGAAACAATGAAGCCAAATGACCATGGACTGAAACTCCACCATGATGTA